AAGAAAGGATAAACATCAAAAGCAGGAAACAGCAGCAATATTACAATAGAAACGCAAAAGACCTTCCTGAATTGGTTATAGGTAGTAAAATGCCTGTTCTTAAAAAGATAGGACATGCCAAAAAGGAAAAGTTGTAGATAAATACACAGAACCACGTAGTTACATCGTCAAAATGCATAGCGATGGAAGACTTCTTAGACGCAACAGACGACACTTACAAGAACTAAACAGGCTATAGAGACGAGTCACTTTTAGCTTGCCAGTTCAAGGGACCGGACAAATTGATCGACGCTATTACATACGAACATTGACCCCACAGCAAATATTAATATTCCATCTACTACAACTCAACATATCCAGCCCATACAGTTTCAGGCACAGATTGACCAAATACCAGATCCCAACCCCATCAAACCTCCCTATGAGAACAAGAAAGTCCCCACAAAGTTTAAAGACTCTGTCATGTAGAAATAAATAAATAAACAATAATAACAACAATAATAACATACTGAAAAATTGTGCTAACTCGAAATGCAGATTCTGTGAAAAATATCTAGAAACAATTGACCATCTTGTATCAGGTTGCACAGTGTTAGCACCCACTGAATATAAAAATCAACATGATAGAGTGGGCCAATGTCTACACTGGAAGATCTGCAAATTTTACGGGAAGGAAGAAGCTGGTATGAACATCACCCAGATCCGGTTACAGAGATAGGATCTCTAACAATTTTATGGAACTTTACACACAGACGGAACAATTAAAAACTAATCGCTCTGTCATCGTGATAAAATACCACAAAAACAGAATGCACTTTTTATTGACATGGCAGTCCCTATAGATTGTAATGTATCTTTGAAGATCTTCAAAAAACTATCAAAATACAAAAAACTATCAAAATACAAGGAACCTGTAAGTGGAAATGTAAAAAATATGACATATGAGGACATCAATAATTCCAGTTGAAGTTGGAGCCCTCGGATTGATTAGACTCACTGAATAGATACCTGTTTAAAGAAATACTAAAAATAAGTACAGATCGGGAAGGCTTTAAGAAGCTGGTATTATTTTTACAAAAATGATCAGTAGAAAAGACCTTAAGTCTCTGGTTGGGACCCGGAAGGAAATATGTATACAACAGAAATCAAAGGAAATAATAATAATAATAATAATAATAATAATAATAATAATAATAATAATAAACATGGATGACTTAAAATTGTATGCTAGGAATGACAATGAGCTGGAAGGTCTTCTGCAAACTGTAAAATGCTTCAGTGAAGACATTGGAATGAAAATTTGGATCGTGCTACAGTTTTACGAGGATGCTACAACAAACTTCCTCTATTAGTTTAGACCCTGCTGTAACAATAAAAGATTTAGAACAAAAACTTATAAGTACCTAATGAGAATGAAGGAATTCACCATTTGAAAGAAATGACTATAGAAGGGTACGACTGGTATTAAAACTGAATTGAATTCAGAACAGAATTATAGATAACCTTTAATCCCAGTGGTCCAATAACATCTTGAACTGGACTCTAAATGACAAGACAAATGGATTCTAAAACAAATTCAAAAAAGTATAAGATCAAAATCATCCAAAGGCTGATGAACCGTCTATAAGTAAAGAAGGTGGAAGAGGTCTTATTCAGCTAGAATTGTCATAACAAACTATTGGCTTACTAACTTACATGGAAACAACAAATGACTGGAGGAAACAACATGAAAACAGATAATTCAATAATAAAAGAAGGCAGTAAATACAAAACAACATTTACATTTAGTAGGAGTAAATCAAAACAGAAGCCAAGAACCAACTATTGCAGCAAAAAGAGAAAGCCAAGGATAAAGCCCTTGAACAGATGAAACAATAGCAAGACAAACCTGCATGTTATCCAGAACGTGCAAATAAAAATGTTGATAAAAATACTCATCGAAAATCTGATTAAAGTCTGAAACTGAAGGCTTTATTCTTGCAGCGCAAGACCAGAGTCTTTTCACAGATCATACATAATAATGTGGATCAAAATGCAGGTTCTGTGACAAATACCAAGAAACAATAGACCATCTAAGAGGATGTTCTATACTTGCCCCCAAATGAATATAAAATCGTAGTGGGGCAATACTTATGTGGACAATGTGCAAACACTTTGGAAAATGTGTAAGCAAACACTGTGAACATCGGCCAGCGCCGGTTACAGAAATAGAAGGTCACCATTTATTATACCATCCACACAGACAGAAAAAAAATAGGCCGGACATTATTGTCAAAACCAGAAAGAAAAAAAACTAATTGATATGGCTTGAAGTAACATAGCAACCAAGGAATTTGAAAACTATCAAAATACAAAGACCTGGAAATTGAAATAGAAAAAAAATGTGGAAATTGAAAACAAAGAATAATACCAGTGGTAATAGGTGCACTTGGAATTATAAAAATGGAACAAAACAACACATTGAAAGAAGGAAACCCCAGCTTAAGAGACATACAGAAAATTGTCTTATTAAGTACAGCACACACACTAAGGAGAACTTTGTCTATGTAAAAGCAGAAATCGGAGATAAAAAAAAAAAAAAAAAAAAATTAACATGAAATAATAACAACACACCACGACCTGCCTTAGGTCTTTCCGCAGACTTGGTAATAATAATAGCAGAAATAATAATAATAATAATAAGAATAATAATAATAAGAAGAAGAAGAAGAAGAAGAAGAAGAATGATGAAAGAATAAGTTTTGTTCATTAATATAAACATTTTTTTCATAAATCAATATTTTCTATCTCTTGGGAGGAGGAAAATATACAATAAATTTATTTTCAAACGCAACAACTATAATTTCAGAACATTGACGTTGTTGTTTTATTTTCTAAATTCCAGTAATAATATATTTTTTATATTCTGCTTTATTCTATTTGATTCCACATTATCAAAATTACTCTAATTATTACCTTGCGTTTATAAAGCAAGATCCTTTTATTTTTTTTATTTGATAAGAGGGATATAATAGGAATTCTTTGATGTTCATGTGTTGTATCCTTTGAATGGATGAAGAAGCCAAGATGGCGAAATAAACCATTTAGAAGCACCACGTGTCTTAATATCATAAAAGTAAATACGAAATAATGCAACTGGAGAAGATTTGGCTTAAGAACATCGAACAGAGACAACGTTTAAAAATAATTATTTGTTGTATAAAATAAATGATTTATCATCGGTAGGCTACGGACATATTGATGGAACTGCGTAGTTCTTGCTCACTAAGTGTTTACGTAATTTATAGTTGTTCTTCCTTTGATGAAAGAGATGCGAATAAAAAGAGGAAATATTCATGTAGAGAATACATATATATACACTGCGTGCCAAATTATTATTGAGATAACTTTTTTCTAATATTTCAAAAACCGTCCAATCAATTCACACAAAATTTTCACCCAATGTTGGCAACACTGATCTGCGCAAGCACTGAAATTTTTGTACTGATCTGCGCAATGTAAATAAACTGGCGCCATATTTGTTATCAGCACGATGATTTGAGCGTGCCAAATTATTAGAAAAGTCTAAGAATTTAGTGAAATGATAGGCCGTAAAAGCAGTGATGCTGAAAAGAAAATTATCACCTCAGAACTCTCAAAAGGTAAATCTACCCTAGAAATTTCTAAAATGATATGGAGGTGTCATCAAACAGTGAAAAAGTTCACCGCCGACCCTACACAAGTACGCAATAGGGCAGATACAGGCAAGCCGAGGGTTATTTCACGTCGTCTCATGTCACGACTTAAACGGGAGGCCACAAATAACCCTGGACTTACCAATCAAGAGCTTTTCAGTCGCAGTGGGGATCCTACTGTGTCTAAAAGTACTCGGTGTCGGTATCTGAGGGAAATAGCAACAACAGTCAAACCTGTATCGAAGCCTCCGTTGACGAGAAATCACATTCAAAATCGATGGAAATGGGCCGAGGACAATATGAAGATTGACTTCTGTAAAGTTTTGTTCACAGACGAAACTCGAACAACACTTGATGGGCCAGATAGATGGTGCAAAGGCTGGGTAATGAGCGGACAGAATCTCCATCAGAGTTTGAGACGCCAACAAGGCGGTGGAGGCATAATGGTCTGGGGTGTTATTATTGGAAAAACATTAGTGGGCCCATGGAGAGTACCAGATGGCGTCAAAATGACTGCTGATGCATACATAGCATTTATGAAGGAGCATCTTGAGCCGTGGATGAAAAGGCAAAGAGTTGCCTTCAGAAGGGCCATTGATTTTATGCAAGATAATGCTCCCTCACACGCTGCTCACAAGACTACTGAATATTTGAAACAGTTAGGCTTCGATGGACCTCAAAAAATGAAGTAACCAGCAAATTGTTTGGATTTGAACCCAATCGAAAACCTTTGGAGCGTCATGAAGCGAAGACTGTACGCCAACGGACGACAATTCAGGAGCAACGCTGAGTTGTGGGAAGCAATACTTGACATATCTCGCGGCATTACAGCAGATGACATCCTACAATTAACAAATTCTATGGATCGTCGACTTCTTCAAGTAATTTCAAAACAGGGAAAGCACATTCCCTATTAATTTGTTTAAAACTGTGCCTTTGTTTGTATCTGTTATTATTTGTTTGATTATCTTATTTATTAGCTTCTTTTGATCATAAACATTCACGTGCAACATTAATAAACGCTTTGTTTGCTCAATTCTGGGAATTTTACTAAACCTTTCTAATAATTTGGCACGCTCAAATCACCGTGCTGATAACAAATATGGCTCCAGTTTGTTTACATTGCGCAGATCAGTGCGAAAATTTCAGTGATTGCGCAGGTCAGTGTTGTGTGAATTGATTGGACGGTTTTTGAAATATTAGAAAAAAAGTTATCTCGATAATAATTTGGCACGCAGTGTAGATAGTATAAAGAATACATATTTGTCCCTTTTCCTCCACGCACATACAAATATTCATTCATTCATATCTATCTATCTATCTGGCTTACGTCCATATCACGTTGAAACACCGGTTCCCCTACTATTACCGAAGTTAAGCAACGTTGTGCCTAGTCAGTACCTAGATGGGTGACCAATTAGAAATATCATATGCTGTAAGCTTGGACATGCGGGTAGTATAATGAATAATGGCTCGAAATTGATTATCGGAGAGTCGAGTTCGAATTCCATGGTCACATCTATCTATCTATCTATCTATCTATCTCAGTTTGATTTCCTCCTGATCGACCTGTCAAGATCAGAGAGTCCATCATCCTGCGCCATATTTGATTATGAACTCCATGTTGTCTTTTCCATGGTTCTATAGTATGTGCCTCACGCCATACGGTTTTGAATTCAGAATTGTCTCTCCCGATGGCCGTTTGCCAATCACGGGTGTGTCCAGACTACCCAGGTAACACATCTAAATAAGAAATCATGAAACCTACTTCAATCACTTGAAAGTAAGCAAAGACATTTATGAGCTGAAGCCATTAGCAATTGTTACGCTGCCAAATGAAAATGTGTGTATGTCAATTTAGAGAGCTTCGGTGTTTATATGCAGGAAAGTAGCTCAATGGTTAGAAAACTGGATTAGAGGACAGAAGATTCAATAACAAGGAGATTAAATTTTGAATGGACAATAAATTTAGAAAATACATAGGGAGACTGGTTGTCAACCACGAGATAGCCCAGTCAATCCTGCCATCTTATCCACAGTTGGAGGAGAAGAGATAAGAGTCATACCTTTCCCAAGAGTATTTGGGCGAAAATGAAACTAACGAAATCGACCGGAAATCGAACACGGATCGCTGCTTTTTCTTTCCACGCACGATTATCTATTTCAGTATGTTCTCTGTATATATTGAGGGAGGGAGGGGGAGAGAGAGAGAGAGAGAGAGAGAGATGATTATAAGGCGATGTGTAATTGGTGCTTTGACAATAAGTAGTGGGTAGTAATCTACTCTTGTAGATTATCACTCCTGTAATGAGCTTGGTCCTTGATGGGCGTTCCGTAATTGTAGCCTTTTGTCAGACTATGCTGTTTAGAAAATAGCTGTGTGTCCAAGTGTTTCCAATTGACGTCAGTGATTGGTATTTCTGCCGTGTGTCATACTTGATATTTATCTCATATTTATCTTAGCTGAGTAAATGTCAAGAAGAAAAGGTGACCGAGATATTCAAAAAATCTTTTTTTTCAGAATAGTAAAAGTTTGTTTTGACCAAGGATAGTTTATTTGGTTAAAGACGGCATTCTTTGAAAGAAAAGAAAAGAAACTTATAGCCACGATTTTAGGGTAGTACATAATGAAAGAATTTAAAAAATAAAATAAAATCCATTCCCACGAAGTCAGCCTGACTTGGTTTAGTAGGTCACATCCACTATCACAAGAGTTACAGGTACCACATGCTATTTCTTGTATCACACTAGCACTTTGAATTAATTAAAATTATCTCATTGAATCTATAAGGAAGTGTATGCTAAATGCTGGGCCACACCTGAACCGAAATCTTTAGTGTATTTAATTTAAGGGAAAAAACTATGATAAAGTGAAAAAAACAGTTTACTCGGATGCGACTACCCATGCGCACAAGGGGAAGGAGATGCTCAAAATTTTAAATTTTAAAGATGAAATGTTGTAAGGAACTAGACGTAAATTTACTGTGTATGAATTATAGCGATAAAGCACTTTCTATACATTTTTGTCTTAGGTTCTTGTAACATTTCACCTTTCTTAGCAGATTTTTTATTATCTCAGTCTAGGTTGTGAGCCTTACATTGGGGGCGGCAACATCGAGCAAGTGCCGAAATTAAACTATTTTGATAGGGTAGTAATAGACGGCAGATATCGTTTGGAAAAATGACAGAGAAACATAGAAAGAGAGACAGACAGACAGACAGAGAAAGGGTACTGAGCTGCAATGGAATAACTAAATCAAAAGGTGATTAGGAATAGTAAAAGGTGCCTTCCAGAAACTAAGCAAAGTATTAAAACAGTAACAAAATAGAAGAGTGCTGAACTGCAATATAATATATAATCGCCTCTATAACAATGAATGCTGGAAAGTCTCCTCATGAATGAAAATGAGCCTTGAAGCGACATACATGCAGTTCTACCGACGAATGCTAATAATACCATGAACAGGGTCTGTGTACAACGGGAAACTCTTAAAGAAAATAAGAAACTCTTAAGGAAAATAGGAACAACAAAGAAACTATTAAATCCAATCAGAAAGAGATAAATGAAATTTCTGGAATGAGGAAAGAAGGCGTAGAGAATTTAACACTCATAGGACATAATGAAAACAAGAGAAGCAGAGAAAAACAATGAGTAACTTAACGAATTTGCGTTAATGGATGGAAGAACAGGGAAACAGAAGGACAGTAAAGAGTCAAAAAAAAAATGAAATAAAGTTTTATTGCAATTATGATCTGGCCATGAGAAGGTAAAATAACTTCAGAAGAAGAAAATAACTGTGAAACTTTTTCCTCTTTTTGTATCCGCTTCTCTTTGGGTTGGAGTATGTGCTTCTTTTGTTTATTGTTTAATTCGGCACTACTCGCAGAGGTTCCAATATTGTGGTCTTGAGCCTAACTAAGTAACGCTTAGTAAATAACTCTTTTATTGAATACTGACCAGTAGATTGAATGGTATATATCAGCGTATCAAGTCACACGTAATTGTGCACAAGTTCAAGTTTAAAGTGGGATGGGATCCCAAGCGTGTATGGACTAAGAACAAAAATAGCTTAAGCGCCCTCGGTATTTTCCCTTTTGGGAACGCCTCAAGCGCCAACTAATGACTCTATGATTACGATGGAGAGTTATTGCCTGGAGGGATGGACCTTTGAAGCATATTATATTAAATAACTTACTGGCAGTTCAATAAGTGTCCAGCAGAGTGAAGACTTACTGACAGTCGATAAATGATGTAGAGTGTTTATCCGCACCTACTCAAGCGGAATGTGACGCAAGGTCGAGTTTAAAGGCTCCACACATAAACGGACTAGGGACAAAAACTGCACAAGCATTTCTTTTGCATCCTTTTATCAATTTATCTTAACGTTTTTTGGTGTCATATCTATTTGAGGTTTTGCATGCTAAAGATAGTAATAATGACATCAGCCGTTTTGATAAGTACTACTCCGAGTAAAGAATCGAGTTTATATATAGAGACTTAAGTAGTACAGTTCTACTGCAACATCTAAATATAGCTGACGATCATGTAAGGCTAATCCTCTCTGGGACATTATTATGATTTTATCAACGAGCGTTATTTTGGCCAGATGATGCCAGTCAGTCAGTAACTCTGCTGGACTAGACGCAACTTGGAGAATCAATAGCAATTAACAATGTAAAATTTTATAGTCTTTCTCACTATGGTTCTCATTCTGTCTCACACCCCCATTCATTTAATCTCAAACTCTCTCTCTCTCTCTCTCTTTCTTTCTCATTATGTCTCATTCTTTTCGTCTCTCTTTTCATTCTATTTCATCCACTTTTTCTTTTTTTTTATCTCATACACTCACTTTTTCTCGATGTAGCTTGCTTAGCCATGTAATCTCTCTCTCTCTCTCTCTCGCTCTCTCTTATGCATTTTTCATCCTCTTATTTTTCGTCTCCCCCTTTATTCAGCCTACTCATCCTTTTTTCAGATCCCCCTCTCTCTCTTTCTCGTTGAGTTTTGCCCACTCATCTATTTAATATCTCTTTGACATTATTTTTTATTATGTCTCACTCACTCAATCACTCACTCACTCATTATCTCCCCCTATCTCTCTCACGCATTATATCTCACTCGCTCTTTTTCACATCCCTCTTGATTGTGCTTCATCCACCCATTCATTTTTTATCACTCTCTCTCTTTCTCTTCCTCGTTGTGTTTTGCCACCTATCCCTTTAATATCTCTCTGTCTTTCTTTTTCATTATGCCTCATCCACTCTTTCATATTTTCTCTCTCTCTCTCATTTATTTTTATTTTCGCCTGTCGATTATCTTTTGCAGTTTGTATCTTCGCACGTTTATAAAAGGGCAAGTTATTTGAAGGACATGCATGTATATGCGCGGGTGTGTGTGGGTTGGTGCTCGTGCATGTACAGAGACGTGACAAAAATAAAAAAAAAACAATATTTATTTAACGATCTAGACGACACAATAATATTTTATAAAAGCAAATTTTAACTCTTTCACTTTTTCAGATAAGAGATTTATTAGACGTGATTGTTTTATTTTATATAGTTTTTTTTTTAATTTGTTTAAATTATTATATTTCCTTATTTCCCTGTTGAAATTAGTCCAGACAAGCTACTTGAAATCCATGACATGATACTCATTTGGCCATGAGTCAAAATATGCTTTTGGATAATGTGTCATGATACTGACCTGGCTGTGAGCAAAATACGCTTTTGGATATCGTATCACGATATTGACGTGTTTGTGTCAAAACACACTTTTGGATAATGTGTCGAGATACTGAATTGGCTACGAGTCCAAATACGCTTTTGGATATCGTGTCATGATACTGACTTAGCTATAAGTCAAAATATATTTTTGGATAATCTGTCCTAATACTAATTTACCAAAATACGCTTTTGGATAACGAGTTTTGGTACTGATTTGGCTATGAGTCAAAACACGCTTTTGGACATTCTATCGTGATACGGACTTAGCCATAATAGCCTTTTGAGAGAGAGAGAGAGAGAGAGAGAGAGAGAGAGAGAGAGAGAGAGAGGGAGAGAGAGAGAGAGAGTGTGTGTGTGTGTGTTTTTCAGAGCGGTTCACCCTGTAACAAGGCCCGGGAGCCAATCGAGATAGGGGGTTACAGTATAAGATGGGCAGTTTATGCGGATAGATGAGACAAAAGGTTAACCCTAGATTTAAACAGGTTAAGATTGTAGCGGTCGGGGAAATATCCTCTTGTGAGTCGGTTCCACAGAGCAGTGATTCACGGGAAGAAGCTGTTCGAGTGGAACTTATTTCCCACCAATGAATGAGAGTGGTTTGCTACAATGTGAGAGGTGTGGCGATCCTAGTCGTGAAGGTTAGAACTGGTGGGACTAAGGAATGTAGTTCATCCAATCATATCCCATAGAAGTATCTATAGAGCTTGCCACATCGC